GGTGGATAAGCTTTTTGATGTGCTGTTGCAATAGGTTTACCAGTATTTTATTGAAGATTTTTGCGTCTATGTTCATCATGGATATTGGCCTGAAGTTTTCTTTTTTTGTTGAGTCTATGCCAGGTTTTGGTATCAGGATGATGTTGGTCTCATAAAATGATTTGTGGAGGATTCCTTCTTTTTGGATTGTTTGGAATAGTTTCAGAAGGAATGCTGCCAGCTCCTCTTTGTATGTCTGGTAGAATTCGGCTGTGAACCCGTCTGGACCTGGACTTTTTTTGGTTGGTAAGCTATTAATTGCTGCCTCAACTTCAGACCTTGTTATTGGTCTGTTCAGGGTTTCGACTTCTTCCTTGTTTAGGCTTGGGAGGATGCAAGTGTCCAGGAATTTATCCATTTCTTCTAGGTTAACTAGTTTATGTGCATAGAGTTGTTTGTAGTAATCTCTGATGGTGGTTTGTATTTCTGTGGAATCTGTGGTGATATCCCCTTTATCTTTTTTTATTGCATCTATTTGATTATTCTGTCTTGTCTTTTTTATTAATCTGGCTAGTGGTCTATTTTGTTGACCTTTTCAAAAAACCAGCTCATGGACTTACTGATTTTTTGAAGGGTTTTTGTATCTCTCTCTTCTTCAGTTCTGCTGATCTTAGCTATTTCTTGTCTTCTGCTAGGTTTTGAGTTTTTTTGATCTTGCTCCTCTAGCTCTTTCAATTTTGATGATAGGATGTCAATTTTAGATCTTTCCTTGCTTCTCATGTGGACATTTATTGCTATATATTTTCCTCTAGAGACTGCTTTAAATGTGTCCCGGAGATTCTGGTATGCTGTGTCTTCGTTCTTGTTGGTTTCGAAGAACATCTTTATTTCTGCCTTCATTTCATTGTTTATCCAGTCAACATTCAAGAGCCAGCTGTTCAGTTTCCATGAAGCTGTGCGGTTCTGAGTTAGTTTCTGAATTCTGAGTTCTAACTTGATTGCACTGTGGTCTGAGAGACTGTTTGTTATGATTTCCGTTCTTTTGCATTTGCTGAGGAGTGATTTACTTCCAATTATGTGGTCAATTTTAGAGTAGGTGTGATGTGGTGCTGAGAAGAATGTATGTTCTGTGGATTTGGGGTGGAGGGTTCTATAAATGAGTTCGTGTCCTTTGTAGGGACATGGATAAACCTGGAAACCATCATTCTCAGCAAACTGACACAAGAACAGAAAATCAAACACTGAATGTTCTCACTCATAGGCAGGTGTTGAATAATGAGAACACATGGACACAGGGAGGGGAGCATCACACACTGGGGTCTGTCGGGGAAATAGGGGAGGGACAGCAGGGGGTGGGGAGTTGGGGAGAGATAGCAAGGGGAGAAAGAGGAAGGCAGCAAATCACACTGCCATATGTGTACCTATGCAACAATCTTGCATGTTCTTCACATGTACCCCAGAACTTAAAATGCAATTAAAAGAAAAAAACAAAAACTTTGAGGGCTGGTGGGATTGTAAACTGGTGTGACCTTTCTGCAAAGCAGTTTGCAATACAAATCAAGATCCTTCAAACATCTGCATGCAGAATTTTCCTTTTTAGGAATCTGTCCTGAGGCGATGGAAACGTATACTTCTGTACAAAGATGTTCATCATAGTGTTTTTGTGCAGTGGTTGAAAACAGAATTTTAATTTAAAAAATTTTAAATTTGTTGTTTTTTTGCCAGGCATAGTGGCTCACACTTGAATCCCAGCACTGTGGGAGGCCAAGGCAGGTGGATCATCTGAGGTCAGGAGTTCGAGACCAGCCTGGCCAACAGGGTGAAACCCCGTCTTTACTAAATGTACAAAAATTAGCTGGGCATGGTGGCAGGCACCTGTAATCTCAGCTACTTGGGAGGCGGTGGCAGGAGAATCACTTGAACCTTGAACTTGGGAGACGGAGGCTGCAGTGAGTTGAGATTGCATCACTGCACTGCAGCCTGGGTGATAGATGAGACTCTGTCTCAAAAAAAAAAAAAAAAAAAAAAAAAGTGTTTTTTTTTTTTTTTTTTTTTTTGAGATGGGGTCTCACTGTCTCGTCCAGGCTGGAGTGTGGTGGTACCATCCTGGCTCACTGCAACCTTCACTTTTTGGGCTCAGGTGATCCTCCCACCTCAGCCTCCTGTATTGCTGGGACTACAGGTGCACGCCACCACGCCCAGCTAATGTTTTGTATTTTTAGTAGAGATGAGATTTTGCCACATTGCCTGGGCTGGCCTGAAACTCCTGGGCTCAAGTGATCCACCTGCCTCAGTCTCCTAACGTGCTAGGATTACAGGCATGAGCCACTGCACCTCGGCCAAAAATAGCATTTTTGTAGAATGTTTAAGGATTTGGAAAATGCTCATGATATACTAAACAAAAAGATATAAGATTATATATGCAGTTGGATCTTAGATTTGTGAAATATGTTTGGAGAAAGAAAATGTAGAAAGCTCTGGGTTGGGAGCGATCGCAGCGGAAATTCAGTCCCAGACCCTCTCCTCATCTAAGCCGGTATGTTCTTCTGGAAAAAATATACCTATGTGTATATTTGTATGCACACATGTATATACAGTGGTGTCACATTTTTCCCAGAAGAAAATGTATGAATTATATATCTAAAATTTCTCTATGAATGAGCACATATACATGTATTTTCCAGACAAATGTGTAAAATTGGAGTTAATGGGCCAGGCATGGTAGTGAGTGCCTGTGCTCCCAACTACTCAGGAGGCTACTGTGAGCCATGATTGTGCCACTACACTGCAGCCTGGGCAACAGAGAGAACCATTCCCTTTAAAAAAAAAATGCCAGGTGCAATGGCTCACGCCTGTAATCCCAGGACTTTGGGTGGCAGAGGCAGGTGGATCACTTTAGGTCAGAAATTTGAGACCAGCCTGGCCAACATGGTGAAACCCCATTTCTACTAAAAATACAAAAATTAGCCAAGCATGTTGGCAGGCATCTGTAATCCCAGCTACTTGGGAGGCTGAGGCAGGAGACTTGCTAGAACCTGGGAGGTGGAGGTTGTAGTGAGCCCAGATCACGACACTGCACTCCAGCCTGGATGACACAGGAAGCCTCCATTAAAAAAAAAAAAAAAAAAGCGGGGAGAGGTCTGTGTGCAGTGGCTGATGCCTGTAATCCCAGCACTTCAGGAGGTTGAGGAGAGAGGATCGCTTGAGCTCAGGTGTTTGAGACCAGCCTGGGCAACATAGTGAGACCCCATCTCTACAAAAAATAAAAAATAAGCTGGGCATGGTGGCACACACCTGTAGTCTCAACTACCTGGGAGGCTGAAGGAGGAGGATTGCTTGAGCTCAGGAATTGGAGGCTGCAGTGAGCTACGACTGTGCCACTGCACTCCAGCCTGGATGACACAGCGAGACCCATCTGTAAAAAAGAAATTGGGGTTAAAGAGAGTATGGGGCTGTTCATTCTCCCTGCAAAAGCAAGGCTGTTAGGCTGGGCGTGGTGGCTCACAACTGTAATCCCAGCATTTTGGGAGGCTGAGGTGGGTGGATCACCTGAGGCCAGGAGTTCAAGAAGACCAGTCTGGCCAGCATGGCAAAACCCTGTCTCTACTAAAAGTACAAAAATTAGCTGGGTGTGGTGGTGGGTGCCTGTAATCCAAGTTTCTTGGGAAGCTGAGGCAGGAGAATTGCTTGAACCCAGAGGTGGAGGTTGCAGTGAGCCAAGATCTCACCCCTGCACTCCAGCCTGGGTGACAGAGCAAGACTTCATCTTAAAAAAAAAAGGGCTGGTTTCCTGGCTAGGGCCAGCAGGTCTTGCAACTTGATGGTCTGCAGAGAAGTGGGTTTTGCGTGTCTAGCTCAGCTCTCTAGAGGAAGCCTGGTCTGAGAGCTGCTGATTCATAAGTGTATATTCGTATGTCTTTAGCTGTGACTGCCTTGCTGCATTATTTATGCGTCTCACTTCTCTGGTTTCTGGTTCATTTCTAGCCTCCCCCCACAACTGCCCCTTTGCTTTTATCTGTTCTGTGAGGCTTCCCCTACCAGGCCCGCTCCCCACCTGCCCTTGCAGGTTTCTCAGGCTCGGGACTGAGACATAAGCGTTGCCCAGAGCCAAGCATGCAGTGGCGGCTCCCAGGCGTGTTCCTGATGAGGATGGGGATGCGCAGCTGCTGCTCTGGGTCGGAGCCTTTGGTTTGCAGGGTGACTTTGTTGTGGTTCTGCCAGCCCCACCCCCCTGCTGCCTGTTGTCTCCTCCCCACCTGGTCTGTCCTGGGCATTAAAATCTGCTGTTGCCTCTCCACGTCTCCCTGCTTCTAGCTAGTGGGGTTTGGCATGAACACCTGCTCTTACTGCTTCTTCTGGGTCTCAGGGCCCTCACGTGTGTCCTGGGGACATCTGGGTGCTGTTGGGGGTGCCTGGCCCCCCCCAACATATGCTTCTGGGTGCACAGGGACCTGTCAGGAAAGCTTGTAATTGGGATAAGAGCTGCCATGATGAGGGTTTCTAGGTGTTTGGGGGGCCCTAGGTGATGGGGGCCCCAGATGGTGGGGCCCCTGGGTGAGGAGGAACCCCAGGTGATAGGGGGCCCTTCTAGCTCTGCAGGGGCTCCACACAGAGTCGGGGAGTTCTCCTTTTAAGGGCTGCTGCTGACAGAGTTGGCTGCTGAGAGGGAATGGAAAATGGGCTTGGGGGCCCCTCCAAGTGCAAAGTACTTCCCCATACCCAGTTCTGGATAAGGGAAGCTTCTGGAAGAGACTGTGGCCATCCCCTGGGTGGTCCATGGAACCCAATCTGCTAGAGAAGAGGAAGTGGTTGGCAGAGTCCTTCCAAGCTGGCTGGGTGGCAGTGCTGTGTCCTGGAGGGCCGGGACTCTCTCCAATGCCCTCGTTCTCTATGGAGCTTCTCCCCAGGCCTGGGCAGAGACGGCTGCATGAGGCCTTGGAGGGAGCAGCCCCATCCCCTGCCTGGGACAGGGGGCCGTGTATGCCCAGAAGTGAGGGGACACCTGTTCATGTCGCCCACAGGGTGCCGAGGACCCAGAAGTACCCATGCCTGAGGACATCCAGGACCAGGCAGAGCTGAGCCTTGTGGGCCCTCGGACCAGCGTTCGTCTGCGGGGAGGCCCTGGTAGCCGCTGTGATCAGCCCCAGGGAAGATTCTGGAGGAGATTGTGGCCATCCCCGGGGTGGCCCATGGGCAGCAGCAGGAGCTCCCAGGAGTGGCCAGGCCCTGCCCACCCACCATGCTGCAGTGCAGACCGGCACAGGAGTTCAGCTTCGGGCCCCGGGCCCTGAAGGACGCCCTGGTCTCCACCGACGCTGCCCTGCAGCAGCTGTATGCCTCCGCCTTCTCCCCTGTTGAGCGGCTCTTCCTGGCCGAGGCCTATAACCCGCAGAGGACACTCTTCTGCACCCTGCTTATCCGCACAGCCTTCGACTGGCTCCTGAGCCGCCCTGAGCCCCCCGAGGACTTCCAGACCTTCCACGCCTCCCTGCAGCACCGGAGGCCCAGCCTGGCTCGGAAGCACATCTACCTACAGCCAATAGGTACGGGGCACCTGCAGCCATCAGCGCGCTCCCGGGGGACCAGCCTGGGTAGAGCACAAGGTGGGGGCGTCTGTGCATGGCCCCCTGGCAGGACAGAAACGAGGGAAGAGGGCCCTAGGTGGTTGGGAGGCCACGGTGGAGGCAGGGAGGTCCTGGCTGGGCCTAGGCTTCTTTCCTTCCCACTCCCATCGTGACACTGTGCTCAGACAGCCCAGGCTCTGGGACCAGTCCGCATGCAGGTGTGGCCTCATCCAGATGTGCATGGTCCTGGCTAGGCCTCTAGAGCCATCCCAGGCACTATGCCACGTGCTGTATAAAGATCACTTCCAGGCCGGGCACGGTGGCTCACACCTGTAATCCCAGCACTTTGGGAGGCTGAGGCAGGCAGATCACCTGAGGTCAGGAGTTTGAGACCAGTCTGGCCTACATGGTGAGACTGCATCTCTACTAAAAATACAAAAATTAGCTGGGTGTGGTGGCATGTGCCTATAATCCCAGCTACTCGGCAGGCTGAGGCAGAGGTTGCAGTGAGCTGAGATTATGCCACTGCACTCCAGCCTGGGTGACAGAGCAAGTCTCAAAAACAAACAAAAAAAGTCACTTCCTCATTGGGTGTGCCAAAATTAGGATTAGCCTATTTCACAGGTGGGGAAACTGAGGCCGGGAGTGGTCCCTTGACCTGCCTGAGTTGCAGAGCTGGTCACTGGTAGGGACTGGAACGCAGGCCTATTTGACCCTGGGGCTGGGCCCTCATCCTGATGCTGTGCTGGGAGCGGCTGGGCTAAGCAGGGTGGCCCAGAGTGATCACTCTCCTCAGAGTCTGTGTCTGACAGAGTTTGGGGGACCCAGGATAGACTGGGGGCAGAGACAACAGGCATCCGTGCTCAGAAGGGAACGGCACAGGCAGGTGTGGGGAGCTCGAGGGGCTGGGCCAGCCTCTGTGCCTCTCACGTGCCAAGGGCAGCCTGGCAGAGACAGCACACAGGATGGGGGCTCTTGGGCTTGGAGAGGAGAAAAGGGCTGGTGTCCACCTCTGACGGCAGTGCACCATGCCTTTCAGCCTCTTAACGGCAAGCCAGAGCAGGGACGGACCTCAGCTGGCCTCGCCCCACGCAGGCTTGTCACCAGCCCTGGTGGTCCATGCAGCCCCTTTCCTGATCCTCAGGACCCAAACCCTGTGGTGTCTGTTGGTCTCAGCGTCCGCCACCCCCCAGCAGCCAGTCCAGCAGCTTGGGAGCCACCCGCTTCCCCCACCTCCCTGCTAAGGGCGCAGAGCCTCGTGTCTCATGCTCTGATGTGCAGATACTTGGGCATGTTTTTGAGATGTAGGGGCTGGGTCAGGAGGCCTGGGTTGGGCTGGGGTCCCTGCAGCCACTTTCTCACTGGTCTCCTGGCTTCTACCCTTGGTCCTGTCCATCTGTCCTCCTGATGTGTGATCTGGCATGTGTATCTCCTGGGAGGCCCCCGCTGCCTCTCCAGCCTTGAACTGCACCCCCTCTATGTCCTGCTCTCTGCCCCAGGCAGCCCGGCTCCATGTGCCACCTGCTCAGCCACAGTGCCTGGCACTAACCCTAGAAGTCCCTGTCCCTAGGTGAGGCCCTGCCCACCCCTTCCCTGACGTCACAGGATCGTCACTGCTGTCCTTTCATCTGAGCATGAACCTTTCTTCTACGTTCCTTGGTGTTTGCCCTTTTGAAAAATTCATGCTTTCCATCTCTGTTACAAGCCTTATGCTCTGCTTGCTGTCAGGGTAGGTCCACAGGGGCCTCATTCACCCAACAGGCAGGTGCCTGTGGGCACTCCCAGGGGAGAGGGTCCCAGGTGGGCAGGGGCACCATGGGGCTCACAGCAATGCTCTGCCACCAGACCTGAGTGAGGAGCCGGTGGGAAGCTCCCTGCTGCACCAGCTGCGCAGCTGCACGGAGGCCTTCTTCCTGGGCCTGCATGTCAAGTGCCTGCCCTCAGTGGCGGCCACGTCCATCCGCTGCTCCTCGCGCCCCAGCCGGGACTCTGACAGACTCCAGCTCCACACAGGTGAGTGAAGATGGCAGCCGTGGCTCAGGCCAAGCCAGGCCTCTCCGGAAGGAAGAGGTGGGAGGAAGGTGCCCAGGAGAGGAAAGGAAACTTCTTTTTAGGTGGGAAACGTCCATTTCCCAGGTGTTTGGGAAGCAAGACTGAAACGGGGTTCCTTTTACCCACCCAGGAGTGTCTGGGGACGTAACCATATACAGCCAGTGTCCGCAGGAAAATGCCAGAGCATACAGAGCAGGAAAAGCGAGCCCTTCTTATTTTTTTGAGATGGAGTCTCATTCTGTCGCCCAGGCTGGAGTGCAGTGGCACAATCTCGGCTCACTGCAATATCCCAGGTTCAAGGGATTCTCCTGCCTCAGCCTTCTGAGTAGCTGGGGCTACAGGTGTGAACCACCATACCTGGCTAATTTTTTTTTTCGAGACTGAGTTTCACTCTTGTTGCCTAGGCTGGAGTGCAGTGGTGTGATCTTGGCTTGCCACAACCACTGCCTCCTGGGTTCAAGCAATTCTCCTTCAAGTTCAGCCTCCCACGTAGCTGGGATTACAGGCATGCGCCGCCACACCCGGCTAATTTTGTATTTTTAGTAGAGATGGGGTTTCTCAGGTCAGGCTTGTCTCGAACTCCCAACTTCAGGTAATCTGCCCGTGTTGGGCCTCCCAAAGTGCTGGGATAACAGGTGTGAGCCACCACACCTGGCCGATGTTTGTATTTTTAGTAGAGATGGGGGTCTCACCATGTTGGCCAGGCTAGTCTTGAGCTGTCTTGAAGTGAATCCTTCTCAGTTCACTCAGCATCACACCAACCTTCCGTCTTTGCAAAGTACTTTCCATGTGTCTAGAAGACCCCAAACCCTCAAGCCCTCGCCCCTTCCCTGTGGGTCACTGGCAGCTGGAGAGTGTTAGGCCGGGTTGAGAGGCGGAAATGAAGTGAGGGCCCTTAGGTGGATAGGAGACCTTGGCTCAAGTTTAGGGAGGTCCTCAGGAAGGGGCTAGGGCTTGAATGACTAGATGGTCAGCTTTCATCAGTTCTGGGATATTCTCAGCAAGTGCTTCTTTTGTCAAATATCACCTCTGCCCCATTCTCTTCTCTCCTGGGACTCCAACTGAATGTATATTAATCCATCTTTCTCTCTTCTCTATATCTTTTTTGATTATTCATGCTTTAGTCTGAATTTATTCTCATCCTTCAGCTTACTCTCTCTGGAGTCACATCTAAGGGACTCTTAAACCCATATATTGAGGCTGGACGTGGTGGCTCACACCTGTAATCACAGTACTTTGGGAGGCTGAGGTGGGAGGACTGCTTGATGCCAGGTGTTCAAGACCAGCCTGGGCAATTAAGCCAGACCCTGTCTGTGCAACAAATATAAAAACAGCCAACAGCGGTGGCACACACCTATAGTCCCAACTACTTGGGAGGCTGAGGTTGGAGGATCACTTGAGACTCAGAGTTTGGAAGTGCAGCGAGATGTGATTGTGCCACAATACTGTACTCCATCCTGGGTGGCAGAGCAAGACCCCATCATTAAAAAATCGACAAAAACCACCCATATATTGTGTTCCTAATTTCATTTGCCACATTTTTGAGTTCTATAGTTTCTAGTTCTTTTTCAAATGAGCAGTGTCAATTTTTATAGGTCTCGGTTGCCTGTGAGATTTAAGTTCAGCATTGATGTCCATGAACATAGTTGCTTAGTCTGTCTGATGATTCTGCTATCTGGAGTGCCCATGTGCCTGTATTTGTTACTTCTGCTAATTTTGTCTCAGTTATAGTGCCTTGTTATTTTTGATTGCTAGGCATCTTACTGGAAAAGTTAGTTTAACTTTGAGAAGAATTATTGGCCTGGGTCGAAAAATCCCCACAGGGGATTTTCTTTTCTTTCTGCCAGACACATAAGGGCTGATTGTGGGACAAAGACGTGAAGATTTCTGGGTAGTTCTGATGGTCCCTAGGGCTCAGCATCTCTCCCAGGGTAGGAGGCATGTCATTAGGGTCATCCAAACAGCCCAGCTTCATCGAATCCTCCCTGTTTTTGTTTTCTCATTAGGTCTCTGCCTTGTTTATTGAGTTATAATTTAGATAGTACAATTCTTCCTTTTCAGTGTAGAGTCTTGGCAAATGCATACATCATGTAGCCAACACCATAATCACATATAGGGTGGCTCTCCACCCCTATATAGTTATTCCTCTGTAACCCTCTGTAATCTGCTCCTTCCCATCTTGGGTGCTTGAAGCAGCTGTTCTTTGTCATTCATTCTGCCTGTCTGGCCATCTTTTGGCAGGATGGTTGGACTGTTATAGGGAGCAGCCACTGCTGAGATTTTGGGGTTGACAGGGACCCCCTGGGTGGGGTGCCATCCCCTGGGTGGCACATTTCTTTTCTGTGTCACAGCCTATACTCCACAGGCTTCCCCGGACCCTGAGGTCCTGAAGTAGGGTCTGTGGACTGTCTGGTCGGTCTTGGCCCTAAAATAGAGCCAGGAACCCCATGCCTCTCAGGCTCTGCCTCTGTAGCCTCAGCTTAGCTCCCCCAGGCTGTACTCGGTGTATCTCACCTGTTATGGCTTCCATCATGGCTCCATCCTGTCTATGCCAGGACTATGGTAGCTCAAAGACAGCCCAGCAGAGTCCAAAAGGGTCACTCCAGCACTTTTTACCCCCTCTGCTTAGTGAATGAACTGCTGTTTCCCCCAGCCTCACTTCAGAAGGTGCATGGTGGAGCCCTCGGAAAAATGACTGCGGGGGAAGGATGTGTACGCGGGAAGGTTCAAAAGCAGGTGGAACCCAAAGGGCATGCTGGGCTGCATTTATGTGGTCAGGTCAGCATGGTTTTAGATTGTTTTTTAGATATGGGGTCCTGCTTTGGCACCCAGGCTCGAGTGCAGTGGCACAATCACAGCTCTCTGCAGCCTTGCACACCTGGGCTCAAGCGATCCTCCCACCTCAGCCTCCCAAGTAACTGGGACCACAGGCACGTGCCACCACTCGTGACTAAATTATTTTTAGTTTTGTAGAGATGGGGTCCTGCCATCTTCCCCCGAGAGCAGCGTGGTTTGGATCACTGTATTGGTTTCCTGGGCCTGCCGTGACAAAGTACCACAAACTGGGTGGCTTAGGGACCTTTCCTGTCTCATATTTCTGGAGCCCGCAGTGCTGAAACCAAGGTTTTGGCAGAGTCACGTGGCCTCTGAAGACTCCATGGAGGGTCCTCCCTTGCTGCCTCCAGCTTCTGGTGGGCACTGGCACTGGCTGGCTCTCTGTGGCCTGCAGCTACATAACTCTAACCTCTGCCTTTGACTTCACGTGGGCTTTACCCCGTGTGCCTCTGCCTCTCTTCTAAGACGCCAGTCACTGGGCTCACCTTTGTTTTTTTTTTTTTTTTTGAGATGGAGTTTTGCTCCATTGCCCAGGCTGGAGCACAGTGAGCACATCTTGGCTCACTGCAACCTCTGCCTCCTGGGTTCAAGCAATTCTCCTGTCTCAGCCTCCTGAGTAGTGGGATTACAGGTGCGTGCCACCATGCCTGGCTAATTTTTGTGTTTTTAGTAGAGATGGGGTTTCACCATGTTGGCCAGGCTGGTCTGGAACTCCTGACCTCAGGTGATCCACCCACGTCGGCCTCCCAAAGTGCTGGGATTACAGGTTTGAGCCACCGCACCTGGCCTGGGCTCACCTTAATGACCTCATCTTCACTGGGTTACTTCTGCATAGATTGTTTCCAAATAGGGTCAAATGACAGGTCCCAGGGTGAGGCCTTCCATCTATGTTTTTGGGGGACATAACTTGATCCACAACAATCATCATCATCACCTTGTTGGCAAAAATTCCTTGGCCTCTCCTCCAAGAGCCATCACGCATTTTCCAAGGTCATGCCCTCGACATGCACTGTCCAAGACAGAAGCCACTGGCCCCATGTGGCTCTGAACGCAACAGAGGTAGCTGGTCCCAAATAAGATATGCAGTGAATGTAAAATGCATGCTGGAACTGAAGAGTTAATATGAAAGGCCATGCAAAAAACTCCTAATTTAAACATTTTTAGGTGGGACACAGTGGCTCATACCTGTAATCCCAGCACTTTGGTAGGCGGAGGCGGGAGGATTGTTTGAGACCAGCTTGGCCAACATAGTGAGATCTTGTCTCTACAAAACACTTAAAAAATTAGCTCTCTCTGGTGGCTCATGCCTGTAGTCCCAGCTGCTCGGGAGGCTCAGGTGGGAGGATCACCTGAGCTCAGGAGGCCGAGACTGCAGTGAGCTATAACTGCGCCACTGCACTCTGGCCTGGGCGACAGAGTGAGATGTTACCTCAAAAACACAGAAAAACCTCCTTGCCTATCTGTTCCTTTTAATGGCGGAACTCCTTGGAAAACACTTTTCTCCTCTGCATGTCTCTGTGCCCTGCACCCTCTTCGCTGCCGTCAGCTTGAGACCCTCTCTGGGGTTCCTGGGACTGTGGCGGCTGCTCTGCCTCCTTCCCTCCCTAGTTTCCTGGCTTTGACATCATCGTGTCCAGGCTTAGCCCCTGGGCCTCTCCAGTATCTGCCCACACTCACGCTCCTGGGAGCCATGCTAAAAAGTTACACAACTTGCTGACTGGGAAAACCCACTGTGATCTTATAGCTCTGTGGGTCAGGAGTGCCCCGGGCTAAAGTCAAGGGTCGGCAGAGCTGGTTTCTTGTGGAGGCTTCAGGGAGAATCCATTTCTCGCCCTTTCCAGCTTCTAGAGACACCCGTGTCCTTGGCTCACGGCCTTTCCCCTTCCTCAGAGCCAGCCCTGCAGTGCCCTCAGGCCTCCTGCACTCACCCAGACCCTCTGCTGCCTCTAATCAGGAGTTTTTATTTGAGATGAAGTTTTGCTTTTTTTGCCCAGGCTGGAATGTAGTGGTGCAATCTTGGCTCATTGCAACCTCCACCTCCCGGGTTCAAGCAATTCTCCTACCTCAGCCTCCTGAGTAGCTGAGACAACAGGCATGCACCACCATGCCCAGCTCATTTTGTATTTTTGGTAGAGATGGGGTTTTGCCATGTCGGCCAGGCTGGTCTTGAACTCCTGACCTCAGGTGATCCGCCCACCTCGGCCTCCCAAAGTGCTGGGATTATAGGCGTGAGCCACCATGCCCGGCCTCAGGCTTACCTGGCTAATGCAGAATAACCTGCCATCCCAAGATCTTTAATCATCTGCAGTTCCTTTTGCTGTGGGGACTCGTAGGTCCCTGGGCTGGGACGTGGACATTTCTGAGGCTGTCACTCAGCTGCCGCGGTGTGGTGGCTTATCCTTCCTGGGGCTACAAGCGTGAGTCTTATTGACCTGGCTGCCTCTCCAGCATCCTCACTGGGCTGTCGATGGCCTCTCAGACTTATGTCCTGATCTCCAAATGGCCCCAGCCCTCACTTCACATCATGCAGCTCTGGGCACTGTGCGCCCTCGGGTCAGACCAGAGGCTGCTGGCCCATGCCTGACTTGGGAGGGGACGGGTTCCAGGGAGAGGAAGAGAATGACAAGGTTTGCTGGCCTGAACCTGGAAGATAGGCATCTCCAGCTGCCTCCTGACCCCATCCCCTGGCCCTCTCCCCACAGACGGCATCCTGTCCTTCCTGAAGAACAACAAGCCCGGAGACGCGCTGTGCGTGCTGGGCCTCACACTGTCTGACCTGTACCCGCATGAGGCCTGGAGCTTCACCTTCAGCAAGTTCCTTCCAGGGCACGGTGAGCCAGGGCCCCCTCTGCCTGGGGGGGAGCACCCTCTCTGCTCTTGCCTCAAGGACCCTGCTGGTGGAAGTGAACACCCATGCATGGGAACAGGTGCCACCTTCCAGGTCTGGAGGAATGACATAGGAGCTGTTCCTCTGCCCCAGGGCCCATCTTCACATGGACGTGTGGGCAGGACAGGGCCGCCCAGGACCAGTGTGTCCTCGGGCCATGGCCGGGTTGCACGAGAGCATAAGGTGGGTTTGATCGTGGGCCCCCTGGAACCAAGCTGACCCCTTAGAGTGCCCTTCTCTCCATCTCTCTCCAGAAGTGGGCGTCTGCAGCTTCGCCCGGTTCTCGGGGGAATTCCCAAAGTCGGGGCCCAGTGCCCCTGATCTGGCCCTGGGAGAGGTGGTGACAGACAGCCCGGAGGCCCCCCTGCAGGACAGAGGCTGGGCCATGTGCTTCAGCGCCCTGGGGATGGTTCAGTGCTGCAAGGTGGGTGGAGGGGCCTGGGAAGAGGGAACGGGAGGGTGCTGGCTGAGCCTGTGCTGTGTCGCTGTGTCGCTCTGTGACACTGCCCCATCCTCACCATGAAGAGGACCAACCCCTAACTTTACAGAATGAGGAAACCAAGGCCACAGAGCTATGAAGAAGCAGGGTAGATATTAGAGCCTGAGTCTGTCTGGCTCCTAAGCCCCGGTCCTGTGTGGCTTCCCCAGGGCCACCTACCCTGCCTCACCTTTCCCCTGGGGCCCTGAATGTGGCCATCCTGTGCTGCCTGGGGCGCCTCATCTCAGCCCTGTTGGGGCTGCCTGGGAATCTGCCCAATGCAGGGACAAGGCAGTTAAGGTGGTTGGTGGCCTTTCCCCCAGGTCACGTGCCACGAGCTCTGCCACCTCCTGGGCCTGGGGAACTGCCGCTGGCTCCGCTGCCTCATGCAGGGTGCACTCAGCCTGGACGAGGCCCTGCGGCGGCCCCTGGACCTCTGTCCCATCTGCCTGCGGAAGCTGCAGCACGTCCTGGGCTTCAGGCTCATCGAGAGGTACCAGGTGAGTCGCGCAGCCCTTTCTGGGACCTGCACTCCGGAGGCCCGCGAGCGCCACCTGGAGACCGTTCGGGGCACAGGGACCGCGCACACGCTTTGTCAACTGCCAAGTTCCAGCCCAGCAGAGCCCGGGACCCGCATTGGGGTCCAGTTCCGCCCGGTCTCACCGGCGGCAGGGCGAGTCCTGCCGGTGCCTGCGTGTGGCGAGTACCTGGGAGGATGCAGGGGGGTTGGGTGGGGAAGAGGGGTGGCAAAGAGCTTTTCTTCCTCAGGAAGAGCTGGGATTGGAGCCCCAGCCGGGAGGGGGGCCTTCGTGGTGGGGGAGGGGTGGTGGCCGGGTCTTCTTCCCAGAGGGACTTTCTCTTCTCTTTCTCATCACCAACACTTGGGTCACTGCCACTCGAGGCGGCAGCTGCCAGGACAAGGCTGTGTTGGAGGCGGCCTCTGTTCCCAACCCCCTCTGCCGTGGCTGTGGAGCAGAGGGCTTGTCCGTCTTCATAGGGGAAGTTGTGTTTGCAAACTCAGAAGCTTTACTCTGAGTTCAGACTGCAAAGGCAAATGGTGGAAATTTTTCTTTAAACCCACTTTTGGGTGAAAACAACTTCTAAGGTGTCACTGCACAAAAGCACAAGAGCTGTGAATGAAATGGTGCTAGGAACCCCTGCGTCCTCCTCCTAGTCTTGGGCCCAGGAGCTGGTGGCAGGGGGGTGTATGGTTTCCAGACTGAGCCTGTCAGAATTCCCTGCAGGGCAGGGCTGGGCCCTCCTTCCCTCTAGGGCAGAGCGAGGAGCTACATCTTGCAGGGCTCTCAGGTGATGCTGCTCACCTAGAGCCTGGGGTACTTCCAGATCACAGCGCCGCCTCACTGCAGGGACTCGGGCAGTAAAGGGAAGGCGAAGTGGGCACAAAGGCCACAGCTTCTGGGAGCCTGTGACTTAGGGCAGAGCCCAGGTGCAGCCGTGGCTGAGGATAGGAGGGTCTCCTGAGGGTGCAGGCAGCGTGATGGTTGATCGGCATCTGGTGACGCCTTGCAAAGGTTGCTGCTGCCAGCTGTGCCCGGTCAAGGGGCAGGTATTAGTACCCTCGTACAGGCAGTGAGGGGCAGCTTGGGCTGCAGAAACGGTTATGAGCTCTCACTTGATGCCTTTACTTGGGGTCTTGTGCAACCATCTGACATGGCATAGCCTGGATCTGCCTGGAATCTGAGCTGGTGGGCACAGTTCCTCCTGCCCAGAGCTCTCCCTTCCACAAGCACCATCTCCCATGGCTGTGGAGGGAAGAGGGCCAGGGTTAAGGCACTCCAGAGTGGCCTGGCCCTCCTGGCTGTGGTAGGGAGGGTGGTGGTGCAGATGTGAGGTCACCTGCTGTCCCTGGTCACTGGGCTAGCTCCTGAGGACTCTGGCAGGTGCTGGAGAGCTTACCAAAGGCCTGGCCAGAAAAGGTCACTGCTGTCCATCGAGAGCAATGGGTGAAATGCCTCTAGAAGAAAGAATACCGCCGGGCGTGGTGGCTCAAGCCTGTAATCCCAGCACTTTGGGAGGCCGAGGTGGGTGGATCACGAGGTCAAGAGATCGAGACCACCCTGGTCAACATGGTGAAACCCCGTCTCTACTAAAAAAATACAAAAAATTAGCTGGGCATGGTGGTGCGTGCCTGT